CCATCATGCTTCTACAAACTCTCCAGGCTCAACAACCCCCCACATTGCCCCTAGCCAGCAGGAAGTAGCCAGAAGACAGGTGGCACCCCTATGCCACTCTATGTATATGTATATATACAAATATATATGTGGTTGTGTGTGATATATATGTAATTCAGAATGCCAAATCTCGAGAAGCACAGAAATAATGCAAATGCTGGAATGTTGAGAAAACAACGCGCATACCTGCCCAACCCCAATGGCCTTCCCACTAATGTCCAGCACCTCCCCCCATCCTCCTTCTCAACCATCTTACCTAATGCCCATCCCCCTCCAACCTCCCTTTTGCTGCCACAGGATGTTTAAGATCCCCAGCCTGTAAGAAAGGCGTGCTCTTGCCCCTCTCAGAGTGTTACTCTGATGGTCAAGGGTCCCTCTCAGGTCTCCTCTCCCTAATAAAGACCTGCTGCTTATGAAGGTCACAGATTCTTTCTCAGTATGTCTCTTTTCCTTTTCTTCACTTTCCCTTCAAAAGATAGTTTAAAATCCTGGTTAAATAAGTTCAGCTTTTAGAACAGAACCAGCTACATTGAGGGAAGATTGTATGCTGTTTAATTACCTTGCTCTCCTGGTACATTTTAGTGTATACCTGGTTTAAAATCACCTGTAGAAACAGGTCTGTGAGGTTTTATGTTTTACAACATATGACCTGATTTCAGGTAACAACACAAGATTAGTCATGTCATTTGTAAATATCTAAGCTTCACTAACCTTAAATGTGCTAATTAAGGCTTATTATGAAATTAGAATTTAACATGAGTTTATTTGGGAGGAACTAAATTTAGAAGTGAGACTTTAAATGCGTAACTAATACTTGTGGCAAGAACAATACATCCTTGAAAGCAATTTCTAAATGAGATTTTAAGAGATGTATACTGGGAATTTATGCCTTCACAGATTTAGGAATGAGATAATTATACAGACGGCCAAACAATACTAAACTTGTTAAAAATATATTGCAAAACAGTGTTAGAAAGCAAGAAGAACAGGTTATTCATAAGGATTATTATAAACAAGAAAAACTCCACCTCAAATATTTTATAGAGTGGAATATACACCAAATGACTATGTGAATACAGACTGCAATGAAAGTGATGCTAAAAGAAAAAAATGTGCTGAAGTCAGGGTAGAAGAGATTGTTTCCAAGGAAATTTTCTTAGAGATGTGAACTGGGTTAGGAAGGATGGATAGAAGCAAGAGCGATTCTCAGCAGAGATAGCAGTTCCCCGAAGAAAGGCCAGAAGGGACATAATTCAGAGGATTTATCTCAAACTAATGAAAATGTCATGTTTTTCTTTCTATATTTCATGTTTTTTCTTCTACAAAATTGGAGAACAGAAGGGTAGAACAGATTCTGCTGGGGGGGCAGGGGTCTGGCAACGGGGGAAGGGGAGAGGTGGTAGGGAAAGGGGGTATTAAGGAAGTAGTAAGATGAATATGGTGCAAATAATGTGTACAGGTATGTAAATGCAAAAATGATACCTGTTGAAACTGTTCCAGGAATTGGGGGAGAGGGGATGAAAGAGAGCGGTGAAGGGGGTAAAGTCAAGTATATTTGATACATTGTAAGAACCTTTGTAAATGCCACAACGTACTCCCACCCAGCACAACAATAAAGTGAAAAAATAAAAAAACAAAAGAAAAATAGGCTGAAGTGCATGGGTGAAATGTAAAGATAAGGATGAAAAGAGAGGGAGGGGCCAAATGCTTTGAATACCAGTCTTAGTTTAGAATATTTTCTGTAGGAGGAATGCTTTGAATATTCAGCCAGGTAGTGATAATGGGCTTCAAGGAAATAATGCTGAAAGGAAGGAATGGAGACCAGAGTAACAGGAAGCAGGCAAGATATTGCAAGAGACCCAAGCAAGATAGCATTGGGATGAGGAAGGAAATGCAGAGACATTTCAAATGTAGTCTCAATAGGAATTCATTAGGGCAATAAGAAAGAGGAATAAAACCTGTTTTGTGGTTTCAAGTAAAAAGGTAGAGGTTTTGAAGATAGCCATAAATTTCTTGACACTCTGCCCACAGAGTTGGAACCTTATTCTCTTCCTCTCGAATCTGGAAGTGGCCTTAATAACTCATTTGTAACCAGTGGAATGTGGAAGAAGCGACATAACCTCAGAGGCTAGATTAGGAAACAGCCATGATGCTTCAGCCTTGTTCTGTGGAACATGTGTTCTAAGCCATCTGTAGAAACTGTGACCTACCGACCAAGATGGGCCTAGTTCTTGAGTTGTCCAAGTTTAGGCTCAGATATGGGAGATTCAAACATGCAGATGGATTCCTGCTGTGATAAATTATATGAAGACACATGGAAGTGTAAGTCCTAAAGAAACATGTTATTTGTCTTGGTACTCAAGTACTCTTATTGGTACTCTTAGCATTCAGAAGTATTTATTTCAAACACTCAACTGAATAGGTGGGTGCTGTTGTTTTGCTACCAAAGGTTCATATAACAGAGGCATGGTCTTCAGCATAGAGGTGTTGAGGTGGTGGAACCTTTAAGAGATGGGTCTTACTGTGAGGTAATTAGGCCATTGGGGTCACTACCCTTAGAATAATGCTCATCTCCTGGGCATTAGTTCTCATAAGGGTGAGTTATAAAATGAGAACACCCCACACCACACATTTGGCCTCTCCTGCAATGACCATTTCCTTTCCCACTTCTCTACTGTTGTAACACAGCCAAGAAGGACCTCACCAGAAGTCAAAGTGATGGGGTTTCCTGATCTTAGATTTTTAACCTTCACAACTGTAAACTAAATAAACCTCTTTATAAAATATCCAGCCTCAGTTACCTCATCATAGGCACAGAAATCAGACTAATATAAGTAAGTAAGCAAAGCACTGTGATGGATAGGAAACAGTGGTTAAATACTTGCTCTAGCACATTTACTTCTCTTCCCCAGAATACCCCATGACCACTAAGATACATGCTAAAGGTAATAGGAGTTAGGTGTTCAGGTCATTTGGAGGTTTACTCTGGTCTTCTAATAGACTTAGAAGAGACATCAGTAAGAATTTGGAGGAGAAGTTCATTTTGAAAACAGTAGAATGTATTTTCCACAAGCAATTATTTTTCCTCAGATATACCTTTATCCATAGTAAAAATTCCTGGTTATTGAAGAACATGAAACAGATGCATAGAAAATTTTTTAAATTTCATCTAGCCCAGTGTCCATCCCAATAGCCTAAAACAGAACTAAATAGGCTGGCAGATCTACATAGTAATTTTTTATGTTTTAAAAGGTAAACAGGTTTATTTGAACATTTGTTCCTATATACTAATGTTTTTCCCCAATATCAGTTTTATTGAAGTATCATTCACATATACAATAAAATTCCATTATATTAAGTGTCAAGTTAGATGAATTTTGATAAATGTATACCATCTAGTAACCATGATCTCAATCAAGATGTAAAACACAATCAATTCCGCATCTCTAGCCTTTAGCTAGAAAAGATTTCTGCTTTTCTAGGTTTTCCTATGACATCATCATACAGTGAGTATTTGTGTCTGGCTTCTTTCTCTTGGCATAGTGCTTTTGATGTTCATAAACATTGTTGCATTTATCAATACTTACTTCTTTTCATCATTGAGTAATATTTCAATGTATGCAGTGTTAGAAAGGGAAGAGACAGAGAGGCAGCTCAAACAGGAGCGCAGGGTTTGTTGTTCGGGAAGGAACTTTGTGGAGGGGGACCCCAACAAGAGAGCTAGAGCCCACAGCCACTAACAGACTTGGAGTAGATATAGGGGAGTAGTCTAGAGGGGAAAATTCTTCCAGAGTGGAGTCAACCATCACTGGGGAAAGCTAGAGGAGAGAGAAGTGGTAACTAGGTAGATAAGTTACTCAGGGAAGCTAGAGGAGATAAGTGGAAATTAGGTAGCTAAGTTGGTGAGTTTCAGATTCCTTGGCAAGATGGTGGCTTGTCATTTCCTTGAGGCTAGATGTGGTCCTTCCGCTGTGGTGAGGTACCAGTAAGCTGCCTGCAAAGGTAGAGGGTCCAATCCTAACGTGACTTCTTTTTGTTCACCCTAACACATAGGTCATAAGTTGTTTCTTATTCACCTGCTGATGGTTACTTCTAACTTTTGGCTAACTCCTATGAAAATTAAATACAAAACTTCTATTTTTCCTATGTAAAATACCTAGCAATGAAGAACTATGCTCTTAGTACTGAGAAATATTTGTGTGTTCTTATATCAGATATTTCAATAAAGAATACAAATACTTCTTAGATATCATTTCATAATAAAATTTATCAGTGGATCTGTTGTAATTCATACATTTCCTAGTCCAAAAAGCCACACAATCACATACATTCAACATTTTCCAGGATAACACTTAATGATATGCATGAAACACTGTTCCTTACAACCTTCAACATATTATAAATCAAATAAAATACATTCATAATTCTATATGAACAAAGAAGCCACACATTAAGAATTCTGTTGTGATTTTTCTCTTAAGAGCAAATAGGAAAATTTCAAATAGTCCATTTTACCAAAAAAAAAAAAAACCCACCAAAAAGCATAACCACTACATGCCACACTTTTACATTTACTATAATTAAAAAAGGAAAGTATTTCTCATTTCATTTTCCAAATGAAAAATATCTCCTAAATTCACATCCTAGGATTATTCTTAGTCTAAAGTTCCAGGTAGAAATGTATGGGATAGAAAACTTTAAGTATCAGAATCCAGGGATATAAGCTTTTGCTTTCAAAAGTATAGAGTATTCCAACATTAACAAATTATGATTTCACAAAAAAAATTTTAAAATTACAACTTAAATGTCCCTTATTTAAGTAACAGTAATGTCACTTTAGAGTTAAAAATTACAGGTAGTCACTGAATCTTAACACATGAAGACTAAATAAGTTTCAAAGGCTTCTAAATACCTATCACTATAAAAATGAGTACTTTATAATATTATGGTCTCTAGAGAAAGCTACATAAAAATTACATCGAGATTTCAGAAATGATAAAGTAACAAGATACACTTTAAAATGACCATGAAGTCTTACCTTCACTGAATTAATGAAGATAAAAGAAATATATGAAACAAAAACAAGACAAGAAGTTTCCTGGTGCATATTATAGTATATTCCCTTATCTTAAAACTTGGAAACTCAATGTCAAACTTTACTAAAGTAGCCATACAAAATGATTCTAAGAGTACAAATGAATTAAATGAGTTTATATCAATTGACTCTGACAACAACCATCTTACCACCTGTCATTGACAGGAACCAAACATTCTACCATCTGCTGAGGAGGTGGGGCCCAAAGTGGAGAAGACTGGACCACTAAGGCACAGGGAACTAAGTAAGTAACTGCCACACAGTGGCAACAGTGCTGGCCAAGAGACAGAGACAAACACCTGTACCCTCCAAACCCCAGCACAGCTGCTCTGCAAACATTAATGCACCCAGTCCCTGGGATGGCGAAGAACTTCCAGAATTTCAGCTTCTTTGGAATTTTCTGAGGGTGAATGCATGTACTCCCATCTATATGTCCAAAACAAACAAAAAAAGCAGTATTAATTTTTAAAAAGGACACACGTAACTCTTACATGAAAAGTAAAATCCTAAGAGCAAAAAAAAAGTCTTATACCTCTTTGTCTCCATTGTGCCTAATATCCCCTAATGTCACTTTTAATACTTGCTGCTAAGAAAGTTTGTTAATTCTTGGGTGTACTTGGACTAATATTATTATCCCAGGGCCAAAATACACTTTTACTGTAAACCTGGGCTTCATAAAATATAGAATCTCAGGTGATCATGGGAAGATGTGAGCTTAATTTTTATGCATAGCTATTCCCAGAAAAAAAAAGAAAAAACAACAACAAAAAAAACCAGGTAGGGATAATCAGTCCATCCCCAATACATATACAACTCCTTGTTCCCTGTGGTTTTTCCTATTCACACGCACGCACACAAAGCTGCATCATTGACCCTGACTCCTTTTATAAAATCCAATTTGGTTTGTCTTAACTGTCTGACATGATTTTCTTATAAAATCAGCAAAGTAAAAACCAATAAAGTCTGAAGTAAGACACTGTTGGTGTTAGCTTGCATACTTTGTGGAGGGTATGGTGTGAGGGGTGGACAGATGGACTACTATGATGAGTTATCTCCTTACCTGGCGGTTAGAGGTAAAGACATCAAGATGCTTTCAATCCTGGATCCTGGAGTTAACAGGCCAAACTTTGTGCCTCGATCATATACCAGATTAAATTCTACATACCTGACGTAAAGACATCAAAAATTGTTAAGCGCTGCTAAGTAAAATCTTTCTGAAACCAAAAAATACTTAAAAGGGAACATCTCCCCAGTTCCTGTCAGGTGGAACTGGCACCCAAAACACTAGCCAGTAGCCCAATGATCTTCCTCCCCCTGGGCAGCATAAATAAAAGTATTGTTTGATACTCTATCACCAAACAATAGGATACAGATCCTTCACTGACAAAGAGCATTTACAGAACAAGAAGGTTCTGTCTTTCCATAAACAAGCAGAAGGAACACAAAGCTTTAAAGCACAGCAATTAGAGAAGAAATGGCATCCTTTCTCAGATAACAGTGCTCCTTTGAATCCTCCAAAGGAGATGTTTCAGAGCATTGTAATCCATTAAGACAGTGTAGAACTTCTGTAACTGAAAGCCATGTATAGTTAACTGTGATCTATTAATGATTAATATATCCTATATATTCATTTTTTAAAGTAGTACATTTATAAGCAGTTGTATAATGCATTTGTCCTACAGATTAATAGAAATCATAATAAAAGACACTATTTTGCATTGCAGTGCTTAGTTTTATTTTTCTTAGGAAAACATCCTCAGCATAAACTAAGACTTATTTCAGTATTATTAACTTGTCCAAGTTTTCATTAACTGTCATGGAATGAGGGGGAAAGGGAGGGGGCAAGGGGTGAGGGAAGAAATGACCCAAACATTGTATGCACATGTGAATAAACGAAAAAAAAAAAAAAACTGTCATGGACACAGATCTGAACTCCATCTAGCTTAAAAATTTTTTCTGCCTTTAACATCACAGGATATAAAAGGATCTCTTCAATTTCAAAAGGATAATTTCTACTCTCCAAAATGATTTAGAATGATATATACATGTAAAATTTCAGTAAATAGTCCCCCTTTCAGATCATTTCTCAACTCATTTATAAACTACCCTCTTGTTCTTAACTTCCCTCAGATATTATTACCTAGCCCTCTGGTGACGGTCTTTAAGCCCACTCATAGCAAAAGATTCTCTAAAATCCCATAGTATTTCCTTTTTTTTTGTTATTTGGTTTGGTTTGGTTTGGGGTTTTTTTGAGACAGGGTCTCACCAAATAGCCCAGATTGACCTGGAACTTGCTATATAGCCTAGGCTGGCCTCAAACCTCCCACCTGCTGGTATTACAGCTATGTCACACTATACTTGATTCATAGTACTTCACTTTTCTTGAGACGGGGAGTGCAGTGCTACAGTTTGAACTCAGGGCCTTGTGCTTTTAAAGCAAATGTTCTATCACTTGAGCCATGCTCTCAGCCCTTTTTGCTTTAGGATTTTTCAAAGAGGGTCTTATATTTTTTGCCCCAGCTGGCCTGCACCACGATCCTTCTACTTAAACTTCCCACAGAGGTGGGATGAGAGGAGCATGCCACTGTGCTCAGCTTATTAGCTGAGATGGGATCACATAAACTTTTTGCCTGAGCTGTCCTTGAACTACTATCCTCCCAAGTAACTGGGATTATAGATGAGAGCCACTGCACCCAGCCAATACTTCAATTGGTTTAAAAGGCCACTTTTTTAGTGTGGAAATTTAGCAAAAATTGTGTAAAACTTTAAATAATTGTACCTATTGATTCCTTTCTAGACTCACCATTTATCACTGATTGGCTTTTATGTACTAATGACAATTTTATACCATCTTATACCTGTCTCAAAAGATAATTTAGGTAAATCTTTTTAATTTCTTCCTAAGACTATGGAAAATAATTTCATCTCTCAGCCACGTTTTTTACCTGATATTAACTTTCTGAAAAATGATTTCTAGGGGACGGCTGTAATTCTCTGATTTGTGTAGATGTGTTTAAAGATCTGCCCCAAAGACCCTTGTAAGGAACTCCTGAAATTAATTTCTGCAGGATCTCTATTTCCTTTTTTTTTTTTTGTATTGACAAAACCTTATATTATTTATTTTGTTTTGGCAGTACTGTGTTTTTTAAAGACTATATATATATATACACATATATGTATAAATTCTATATATATATTTCATATATATATATATATTACATTTTATTCCTTTATTGTTGTGGTGGGTGGGGGTACATTATGGCATCTACACAAGTCCTTATAATGTAACAAATATATAATACATGAATTCACCTCCTCAACCGCTCTCCCTCACCCCTCTCATTACTGGAATAATTTCAACAGGTATCATTTTTGCATTTACTTACATGTGTACACATTTTTTGTATCATATTCACTCTCCTGCCCCCTTTCCCCATCACCTCCCACCTCCCACTGGTACCAGTCCTTCCCATTGGGCAGGACTTGTTCTGCCCTCCTGTTCTCCAATTTTGTGGAAGAAAAAAAAAGAAAAGATGACACGAAAAGCTTGTTTGATAAAGGTAGCTACCTCTTTCTCTACATTGGCTTCACTGCCTCGTGTCAGATTCCACTTAGATCTGATCATTCCACACATACATTACTCTCTGAGGTACCTATAAGTTAAGGGCTTTAAAGAACCCCTCTGATTTTACTAATGCCTATGTTTTATCCTACTTCTCGCTCCCAAAACACAGAAAAAACTCAGCTGAAAGTCTTTAGTTCTGCTCTCCTATGAAAAAGATGATGATGAGGGTTAAATACAAGGTCTGAAAAAAGAACAGTAGTAACTAAAGAAAACAGATTAGGTGAGGTGGTCAAAAAAAGACATTATAAAATCACAAGGGAACCTGAATGACCTCTGAAAGGGAGACTTATTTTTAGAAGGAAAGGTGGCAGGGGGAAGAGCAATCTGTAGAGGATACAGACGATGGGTTATGAATATAGTATAAAAAACTCAAGACAGTGCTAATGTCTATGAATCTCTGCTATAAGGCTGGGATTATTTTTAGCCCCAGAGTCTATTGTCTTCTTAGGGCCTGGAGACAAGGGTGACAAAAAGAGACTTTCTTTAAAGAATAGTCATATACCACACCATAAACTAATCTAACATTCTACGCTTCTGCCTAACACCAGATATGCAATGATACACACACAAAATGGAACTTTCAGAATGAACTGTCATTAAATCATATTAAGAAAAAAATCCTTATTGCTATGTCTAAGGAGTTTTAAAAGCTTCACCTAAGCAATGTTCATAAAATTTTCTAACTTTGTATATAAAATCTTATGCAAAACTAGCTCATTTCAGTTTCCACAGAGGTTTAAATTATCCTGTTAGTCATGTCGCCCTACTGAACTGTGAGCCTCTTTTCAGCACATATTGATAGAGCTGACCTCAGGAGGCCCAAGATAAATGTAAACAGAATGAAGGAAAGAGTGGCAAAGGTATATTTGAGAGATTTTGAGCGGGGGTGTGGGGGTGGGAGGCCCAAACCATGCATTGTGTAGAAATTCCAAAAAAGAAAATTTAATTAATTCTCTTTGCCAAGTTGATAAATGGGGACTAGATAACACAGATAATAATTTTTTTAAAAAGGTTAAATGTAAACATTTATCTTTGGACTGAGAACATTATGTAAGTTGTCCTTTTTATGGCAAAAGTTTTAGCTTCTAGTACCCAAAACTTCCTATTACTGGGAAAATTACCATAAATTAGAAAATCCATTTTATAGCCACAGGCCAGTGGTATACATACAATTTAGATGGCAGTGAAAAACTAATGTGGTCTGGCAGGGTGGATATTTGAAGCTGATTCACAGGCACGCTGCCTGAAAATTACCTTTTTTGGCCACTCAACTGAGTTCACAAAGCTAAATGAACAGAGCCAGGTGACAAAGGTGAATATCATGGTAAGTACAAACCTTACTTCAGTTAGGTAGCACCCTTTGTATGATGAAAAGACCACAAGTTTTGAAGCCTTGATGATCTGGTTTCACATCTGGGAACTTTTATTACTTGCCATGTTATTTTGGGCAAGGGGCTTACCTTTTTGAGTCCATTTTATCATGTATAAAATGCCGATCACTCTTACTGCACAGGTTTGCAGAAAAAACCAAATGCCTACCATGGGAGCTGCAGGTAGGAAGGGTCCCAAAACTAGTAAAATTTATCACTGAGTGTAAATAGTTTTTGAAATTATTTAAAATAACTTTCAGGAAATTTTTCAGATGAATGGAAAAAAAGTATGATTCCAAAATTACAAAGCAGAAAAATGTGAAATGATGCCTATATCTCAGCATAAGGCTGGAGAATATTGCTAGAAAACACTGTTATTTTTAGATTATGTTACAGATGTTATTAAATTCATGTTTAATATTCATCTAATTATAAAAAATACTTAGGGTGTGGATTAACACAACTATTACACGGCATCTGCCTAAGACAACACCGATTACTATATTGCAGCTGCTCCACTTCCCCAGTTACGCAAGGAAACATCTGACCCTCCTGTCACTCACCGTCCTCTTCTGAGCTGCTGCCATAGCTTCTCCTGGGGGGTGAATGAGTCATCACAGTGCTTTTTCACAAGAGGAATGTAAGAAGGAACCACAGCCTGGGCACAGCTCTGCACAAAGCGAAATACCTCCTCTTTGGATGGCGAGTCAAGATCATCAAAAAAGATACCACCGATGCCCCTCCGCTCTCCACGATGGGCTATGAAGAAGTAATCATCACACCTGGAAAATGCAGCAGCGTTAAACCAGGGATCCAAGAAGAAGAAAAGAGATGTGAAAAATCAATGTCGGCCTTTCGGTTCAGAGCACTCTCCCCAACTAATGCCAGCAGGATGTCCTTACTTTCAGTTCAATTATGAGTGAAACTCTGGCCAGATTTTCTGCAGGTATCACCAATGTGAAAAATACTTATATTCTTATCTTCAGAGCAGCCCAGCAATTTAACACAAGTCTATCTAAAGGATCTGGAACTCTAAGAACTTCAGTGAAAAGAGCAATAGAACTCAACTAAATACTGTACTTCTTGAAACCAGTGATGCTGCTGCCCTCGAATACTGCTACTTTTTTTACAGGAGGCAGGAGGCAGGAGGCAAGAGGAGAGGAGTCTTCTAATAATTACACCAACCAGGGAACAAACCAAAGCTCTCGAGTCAGTTCTTTATTCTACCAAGGAGGGGTACAATAAACAACTCTATAGTCTCCTTCAGCAATAAACTGATGATTCTATAGTACACATAACTAAGGAAAGGGCTGGTGGAGGGAAAATTTCAGAGTGTTAAAAAAAAAAGTCCCTGTACACAACACATCTTAGACTTCTGAGCTTCTGAGCTGGCACAAAAAACTACTACTCTGTTCTTCAGTCTTTTTCTATGTTTACCAAAATAGGTTTCCTAAGAAACTATTTACTAAATGTTAAACATGTAAAATAGTTTACAACTTGGAAATAGTTCTTTTGATGAAGTCTATATAACTAATATACCTAAATAGAAAACTTGTTCCACCGAACAAATGATTAGAAACTGTTCATAAGGCCACTTTAAATATAGCCTCAGTAGCTTAAATTCTTTTGGGATGAGAATTCAACATCACCCTCCTAGGATTAGTCTCTGACTCTTAGGCATCGATCACCATAATTTATACTCTACATTCTAAATCATTTGGGATCAAAAAATGATGCTTCTACACAATATACATTATAGACATCCAAATATTATTTCAAAAACTTAAAATTCTGGTGAGCAAAATAAGACTCTTCATAAGCTGAAGAAGGTGTTTTGTGATGTAATAGTTACTCTCAGGATACACAAAAGGAATGGGGTATCACTTGGGGTCATGAAAAGTTCAATGCCTTTACCTACCATTTTTTAAATTTGGGGTAGAGATCTGGACCATGCTGGTCACAAGCCTCCTTAAGAGTTCGGTGAAAATGGACAGCATCCTCTTGGTTCAAGTATGTTGGAGTAAGGTCACATCCACCACCAAACCACCATTGCTTGTTACCTACCAAATCAAGACACTGGATTTGATGGTGGCCTTGATATTCGATATACTACTAATTGTCTTAACAAACCTAATTCAGCAGCTTAATTTATTAAGCATAACACTTTCTGAAGGCCAGTAAGGCAGCAAAGACGATGTAAAAGCAGAAAGAAAAAGAAGTCAGAAACTAAAAAGTGAAGGATAGAAGAAGGCAGAGAAATGAGATGTAGAGTACTGAATGATAAAACTCTGTACAGGTGGACCAGGCGGTAAATCCCAATGCTGTTTCTACATTAGAATCACATGAGTATCGTAAAATATCTCTGCTAGGTCACCATCTGAAAAAGCTAACTTCAAGCCTAGACATGTAGTTTATAAAAGCTCCCCAGGAGATTCTGATGTTCCCAATAGTAAGAACCACTGCCCCCCTTCCATTTTCCCCACAAAGGTTAAAAACACTTGTGGAGAGAACGACTTACCATTTGAGAATAACTGTTTTGTGCACTTACTTTGGTAGATGAATTATCAATACCATTTACCAACTATTTTTGGTCTGGGAGTTTTGATTTCAGTACTGGGGATGGAACCCAGGGACTTGCACATACTAAGCACACTACCACTGAGCTATATCCCCAGCTACAGTTACCATCTTTCAAACATTACAAGGTCAAAACAAACTGAGTAACTTAAAAAAGAAATGACTTTAAATGCCATCACCTGAAGAGACACCAACAGGTGTAAGCATGGCGCTGTTTGGATGCTCTGACAAGTCATTAACAGATGACCTTACTGATAGGTGATACAGGTTGAAACTACATGCATAGCAGATATGATCAACTGCACCCCGTTTTAAACCCAGTGATAATGCCATTATGACTAGCAAAGCTATGCATGCAAAAAATATTTCACAAAGGCAAGTTCTCAATTTCAACTTAACCTCATACAATGAGGTCTTCTGTCAGATATAATGATTTTATATTTGCAAAGAACACTGCGTGCACTTTGACATCAGGGTTTGCTAAATCATTCTTTCTGTGCTGGAAGAAATATGGGGAGGTCAAAGTAGTCAATACCTTTCTTACTTTTCATATGTAGTGCATAATCCATTGTACCTATCGAGGAATAAGCCTTCATTTGCCCCCTGAAAAAACCTCCTTAAGACTGTAGTTATTCTTTCTCATGTTTAGATGTGATACCTTTTTACCTGTCTTAAAATATAGACTCTGCTCAATAATGCTTTCCATAGCTCCTTAGATACTTACCATCAGCTTCTTCTACTTCAAAGTATCTGTAGTTGAAATGGATAGTGGGAGCATGAGGATTCTTGGGATGGATAACAGAGCTCACACCCATAGCAGTAAATGGCAATTTACCTGGAAAGTGAAATATGAAGCGAAATGCATTCAATCACCTGATACCAGTTAACTCCTATGTGATTTCTGAATCAATTTCAAAAGCTGCTTTTGAACTTGCCTCTTAAAATAAAATTTTCACAAAATAATTGCAAACATGCTTACCTGGCATAGGTACCCAAATGGGAAAACCAGAAACAATATTTATTTTATAAATATGAAAGGGAAGGTTTGCAGGGGCTACTTAAGATTTACCCTCTTTAGTCTTCAAAACTTTTCCTCTGCTTCTCATTTGTTTTGTTGCATCCTCAGAAAGATTCCCATGAATGACAGAAATGCTCACCCCAGCCTTTTCAAAAACACGCCCATCTTGAAGTACACAGCTGATGCCACCACCTCCTGTTACAGAAATGGAAAAGGAGGAGAGGGTACAAGAGTATCAAAACTGAAAGCAAGTCTTGCATGAAGGTGGTGGGATTAGGAGTTATCTGCCTCTTCTATGTCCCAAATCCTCTGTAATAGTATATTTAGAATTTTTTGTACAATAAGATTGGATACTTGGCTTAGCTTTATGTCATAAGCTACTGATACTAGACCTCCCAACACCACTAAACTTATTTTTTTTTATGCCATCACCTAAAATAAGTCATTCTAATAGTTTCCCTTCAAATACAACACAGTAGAGCCCACTGGCTATGACATCTAAGAGAAAGGTGAATTAAAAGTAGGAATGGACATACTTGGTGGGTGTCCTATTAGAAGCTCCATATTGCTTTTGTTTGTTTGTTTGTTTGCTGTTTCCCTTTTACCTTTGTTTACAAGTAATTTAAAAACACTAGATATTAAAATTCTTAGGGGATTCAGAACCAGAATTGAGTGGCACATACATTAATATTTAGGTGTAAGAGGTTATTAGCTTTTTTTTTTTTTTTAAATCACTAGAGTCACCACAAGGCCATTGTTTCATAAAGGTTCGTGTTTGGCTTGTTTCATTTCTAAAAACTTTTAGAGGTGAATGGGATATAAGATGATCCAGTACAACCCTTTTACATCCCAAATGACAAAACAAAGATCCAGAGAGGTGAAATACTATATTAAGATCAAATAAGCCAGCAAAAGACTCAAACAATTTGTCCAAGTACTATTTGTGTTTTGGGCAATACTTGAAGCACTTTACCTATATTCATCTCATTTAAATCTCATACTACACACACATATGAATTATTTTTCATCTCCTTTCATAAGTAGAGAAACAAAAAAGTTAAGTACGTCCAAATGTCACACAGCTAGTCTGTAATTCAGGATGTGTTCAGTGGCCTTCACTTGAGAACATTAAAAGTGCTATGAAACATTAAAAATGCTATGCAACCAGACTGAGCTTCACTTAATATACATGTGGCAGTATCACAGCTCAAAATCAGTTGGTGAAAAGATGCTGCTGTCTTCCCAGGTAGCAAAAGTCAAGAATGGTTCACTTTTATGATCAAGATGTGGCATTTCACAGTATAGACAACAACATGGTCACCAATATATGACTCTGTAACAACCGGATTTGATATTTAAGTATTTTGGCAGTCAGAGGAAATATATTCCTCCAGGAAATCTTTGGGTACATTTGGTAGAACTACTGAAAAAAAACAATCAAATATTTCTTGGCAACAGGAAAAGGAAGCACAAAGATTTCTAATGCATCCGCCCATGGAGGAGTCTGACAGTTAGCATGAAGGAGAGGAGTTCCTCTATCTCCAAGTAAGGACAAAGGACAAATGCACCTAGAGAAGCATGAAATGCAGGAAAGTCTATGCTCAATAACACGTCTATTGCTCAGACTCACAAGCTTGTTGACTGCAAATATGCCTTAATATTTCTAAGCAAAGGTCATTATGGAATTGCAAACATTTTCCTGGGTCCACACGAGCAAGTAGAAAGCCAATGACCCTCCCAGTGTCAATCGTTTTAGCAGTGTTCCTTCAAATCAAGCGATTTCTCTGTGGGTACACCCTATCTTACCCCATCCCCAATTCCTAACCATTTTTGTTCTGCAACCTAAAACTCAATCTTTCTCTCCTCCTCCCCCATCTTCATTTCCCACTGGGACTGAGGTGGGGGAGGCGTCCTCACCTTCCTTCCTCTCCCATCGGTCCACAGAGAAGCTGGCGACCCCGTCTACCTGTGCCAGCGCCTGGCACACCTGGGCCTGGGTCTCCAAGATCAGCAGCTCCATCTTGGTCTTCACGTCTCCTGGCCTCCTCCGCATCTCGCGCAGATCAGTCACAGGAGGAGCCATGAAGCAGCTGCAGCGACGAGCCAGCTCGTCCTCTTCCTCGGGCCTCGCAGGCGAGGAGCTCCGCGCTCCCGAGCTCTTGGGCACCATCTCGGCGCGCTGCACATGCCCGAAGGCGGCAGCGGTCAGCCCCGCCAATCCCGCCAGCGCTGCGGCTAGCCCGGTCCCCAGCCAGGGGCCGCCTCTAGCCGAGGGCCCGTGCCCCAACCCGCGCCTGTGCTCGGTACCAGCCGTGCCAGGGGGCCGGCAGAAGCGTCCGGATGCGCAGCGCCGGGACCAGGCGCCCAGCTCTCCGCAGCCGCCCCGCGCCGCACTCCAGCAGGGGCCTGCGCCCAGCCTGCCCAAGTGCAAGGCCATGGTCCCGCCGGAGCCTTGGCCGCTGCCGGCGTCCTGGAGAAAGAATACTGAGCGCCCTGGGGTGTCCTGAGCCAGGGACCCACGAAGAATGGGAAACTCTCGCTCAGAACACTTGCTGCTCCCGTAGAGGCGGGCGGGAGGCGAAGAATTCTGGGAACTGTAGTCCGCTCGTATCGCTACTGCACCCGCCCATCGCACTGGAACTGCACGATAAGAATCCACCTCGCCCCGAAAGTCTGGTTGGACTGGAAGAGCACTGGGACACGGGCGGAGCCACAGGCCTGCGGAGGCTAAATGAGAGATAAAAGAGGCTTTCTAGTCACGTATAACCTTGGCTCAGCTGTTTTCTCACCCACAGAGAGGAGGCAAAGTAGAGCTGGGAGGCCCAGGAGAGCGGCGGCAGAAATAAGACTTAGGGACACGCCCACCATCTGGCCTTACATTTTCAAGCCGGGTTTGCAGAAGGCAGTCTCTGGCTCAGGATCCGTGGAATGTCACTTTGTCTGGGTCCCGGGCCTCTACAGTTCCTTGAGCTGGCGGGAACAGGGAGGACGGGGCCTGGGAACTCCATGCCTTAAGAAGTTTCTAAAGGAGTTAAACAAGGTAGTAGAGGGCTCTTAAGAGAATTCTAGGAAAGATTCTCTGGGATCAAGTTCACATCACAGTTCTGTCCTTTTTTAAAATCTTGCTTCCACGGTGCCAGTTGGTGATTTTAGAAACAAGAAAAAGAAAAGTGACTGTTTTACTTAACCAGCATGAAATTCCTGACCTGTATGTTTGGGTAATTAAGAAACAAGACATTTAATATTTATCTACCATTGTAGAGTTTATTTCTCACCTGTAGGGTTCTTCCATTGAAGGGTTTATTTCTCACATTGTAGGTTTATTTCTCACCTTTAATACTTGCACCAACTCCTTTAAACTGAGCAGAGCAAACATCCAAGATCCAATCTACTCTTCCCCTGTCTGAGGTAAGAGGCTAACATTTGATATGCAGGTGTTTTGCCCTACTGTGCCCAGACATATAAAGTATAGGAATTAATTGTCAACATTTTTACAGTTATCTTATGGTCTAATTTGTCCCTGAGGTATCCAGAATGATTTTAATTTCTACTAGCAGATAATGTAAGCCACGGGTCATTGTTCCCAGAAGATCTTCCCAGTGACTGGAGCACCGATGGAAGTTCAACACTGCTTCACATCAGCAGGTCTTCTCCACCCACAGCTGCGGCCAGCAACTCTCACCCTGGGACATAATGTTAGCTAAGTCAATGGAAGGTAAAGCCTGGATTGAGAAGTTAGTAAAAAAAATTTAGGGAAGAAAAATAATTAGTTTTTAGTCATCATGTAACCTGCCATGAGGCTAAGTTAATAGAAGACAAAAAAAGAAAGAAGAAAGGAATTATCCATCTGGAATGGTTGTTTGCCTCTTCTGAATGTCTGTCATGGGGTTTGGCTGGGACTGGTGATGATAAATGAAACTTCTTAACAAAAAAGGAACTTCTCTGAACAATTACCTATAAGAAAGCCCTTTGTCATTGCTCTGATTCTGAAAATACCCATAAAGTTAGTAAAAGAGAAACAAAAGCAGACCATTTTGAACATTTGCCAGTTGCAGATCTGATATTGAGCAAATTGTATACCAGCTTACCTATCCTTAGCCTGTCTGTGCAAAGGGCTCCTCTCCTTCCATCCCCTGGCTCCCAGCACCATTCCTACCTTCAAATTAGTATGCAATATTTAATGGAGGCCTTAAATACCTTACACCTTGGTGTAAACTGAAATAATGTTCCTAGGTTTCAAATTGTCCCCAAATGAGATACTTGTATTTAACTTTTGTTCATGAGTGTGAAATGAAAGACATCTAATTTCTAAGCAATTTTATGCAGCAGAAAGCTCATGAGGACAAGTAAAAAGTTTATAAGTTGTAAGACATAAAGTATAGTGGGCTGGCAATGTAGCTCAGTAGTAGAACACTGTTCTAGCATGTGCAAGGCCCCGAGTTTCATCCCCAACACCACAATAAATAAATGAAAAGGTAAACACTATATATGAGTCCTCATCTACTTATGAACTCAGTTTTCAACACTGCCTTATAACTTTATTTTCTACATGACCCCAGCAGTCAAAAAACTCTTATGGTAAACAAATTTACTAGATACAGGAAATATGTCAATTTTCAAGCTCCACATGCTTCTCAGAATCTTATGAATTTTATTCTTTCCCTATCCCCCAAGACCTACTGAACATAACTGATTTTAGACTGTGGCTAGCACATTGGTATTCCCTTTCACAGAGAATTTAAAGAGGCCCCCACTTGATCTCTCTGGCTTCTAACAACACACACACACACACACACACACACACACACACACACATTTGTATTTACCACTATCTTTAACAAATTGTACTATTTTCACCAGTTCCCAAATTTTGACAGCCAAGCACAAGAAATGTGACTCAATTATGTTGCATTCAGATCGATGCAGACACTCAGGCTAATTAGTAACAAAGAATTGCTAAACATATGTGTGTCTTGGCATGCTTCTGAACAATTTAGAAATATTGGTGGAGGTTATGGAAGGAGTAAGATTGGCAAAGAAATGGACTTAAAAAATTTTTTTTGTTCTAGAATTTATATTTTAAACTTTTGGATCTTTATAGGCAAATGCTTACATAGATCCTTAAAAGAATAGCCTTCACAAGATGGGTACTAAATATTCAATTTATTTTTGTTGACTCGCTTTCTCTTTAACTGAAATAATTTTAAATAGATTTTCACAGAGATATAGATACCACTCAAAAATTCCAAGAAACTTTTATAAAAGGGACAAGCTAATAGTGCCTGCTACTTCTCTACTTCACCTTTTGGCTTTAGCTTCTCTCTAATTCTCTATAGAAATGTGGATGTCTAGAGTTGCAGCAACATTTATGTATTTAAAATTATTATTAGTGTTTGGTTCAGAAAGGGGGATAGTGAGAATATAGGATGTCATTTCTAGAAAAAGGGAATTATAGACAACAACATATATGACCACAATAGGGAGAAATTTTTGAAGATGATTCTAAGAGTAACAAAAAAAAAAATAGGGAATTCAGAAAGAACTAGCAAGCACAGAGCAGTAACTTAAAGGGGAGACAGAAGGTAACCAGTTTGATATAGATGGTTGATAATAGAGTTGTTTCAACCAATTTAACCAAAGCAGTATCACTGTTCCCATTGTTCAGGTATATGAATTCGTGGTCACTCCATCCCTTCAGTGTTAAATGCTTTCAACAACCTTTCTTATGTCTTGGGCCAACTGATAGGGTAGATCATTTGGGAAAATGTTGGGAACAAAGTTTTGGAATATATACATGTATTCCTTCTGTTAAGCAATCAAAGAACAATGGGTGTTGGGCACCTACTCAGGATCCCTATCATACAGTAGTAAAAGAGACACTTGACATTAATCTTGGGTACCTGCCCTCATGATATCTTCATGGCACTTACAAAGCAAAGGTGCTCCCACTCATGACACCAAGCATGCATGTCATTTGATGGACTGGATTACTCTCTTGAAAAATACACATTAAGACCTTCTATTTAAAACCCATCCCAATATCTTTTTAAACTTAGTAGTCAAGAACAGTTCTCTGATGTTTGCTCCTATCAAAAGTACCCTTTTACCCACATCTGTTTAGCCTGTATCCTGTTTTTAGAAGTGAAGAGGTTGAATGAATACAGAGGGAGGGAAAGCATACTTGGAACACTCTCTTACTGCACACATTCTGAACATGAGTCTTGGTTGTCTGATAAATGAAAATGTAGGCCCACAGCAGAATGAAGACTAGAAAGATAGGTGTGGGGGATATCCAAAATGCTTAGTGGTGAGTTCACCCAGAACAATTCCTAGGACAAAAGGATAAAGGCCTCAAAGTCAGCACAGAGGGCAACAGGCAAATTTAAGAAGAAAGGAAACAAGAAGTCTTTGTGCCTTTGTTGTGATGTTACAGAATCAGAGGGGAAGAAGGCATCCAGGAGGAGAGTAGGTCAGTGGGAAAAAAATGTTACTCTCTGATCAACAAAGAATGTAAGTGCCAACTAGAGGGTGCTACTAGAAACCATGAATTCACTAGCTACCTTTGAGATAATAGCTTCAGAAAACTTGATAAGATAGCAGCTAAACTGAAAGAATATTCAGAAATACAGAACAACGGTAGCTCAGGTAGGAAGTAATAGGATTGACATATTATTGTAAGAATACAATAATATGCACCACTAGCAGAATTCATGCCCAGAACAAAGGTTTGATTTCTCTCCTTAATTCCTCAAATTATACCACTGAGTCTCCATTGAGGGAACATAAAGATCAGAGCAAATTGAAAAGAACGGGGCAGAGGAATAGCCACTTTGGGCCCTAATCTATGTACCTTCCAGGACCTGGCTCTCTTGCTCCAAATATTTGCTCTGATCCTCACCCTCATCCTAAGCAGCATTCAGGCAACCTTAGAATCCTATTCTCAGCTGTAATTCAAGGGTTATGAGAACTTTGTTACCCAACAAAATTTTCATTTTGTTTAAACTAAGCCCAGAGTCATTTATTTTTTTCTATATGCATTTATTTAGCACCTTTTCATTTTTATTAGGATAAAATTAGGGGGAATTCATAGTGACAATTCCAAATATGCTTATATTGTATATTGGTTAAATCACCCCCACCACATCTTCCCCTACAACCCCACCCCACTCCACTTAAAGCCATATTTATCACCTTTTTATGTGCATAGCAACTTCATAAGCAGAGAGGACTACTGTGGTCACCTTCACATGATATACTAGAAAACTGAAGTTTGGGTAGATTTAGGGTAGAACAGGTGCATTATTTCTATGATGTCTTAACATTGCTACACTGCTCTTCATCTCTGAGTTGTCCACTAATATAATATCAATTATATTTACTAAACATGTACCTGAGAACTACACAGAGGAGTTAACAAACTTCACTCACCCTACATAGCAGTTATTGTGCACTGAGGCTATGACATTCCATCCCCAACAATCTGATGTATTGGATGTGGACTTCCAATATTGAAAGAGAACTTCTGAGAGCAGCTGAGCTGTAGTGACAGAGACAGATTTCTGACCCTATTTATAACATTTGTGACAAAAATAAATTTAATGTATTATTAACCAGGTAAGTCATTGACATAGAAATAATTTATTCTACTCCAACCATTCAACATGTGCCTCATGAAGTCTGGCTCTTGTGAAAGGGGCAAATTAAAGTAAGATCTGATATAGTACTTAATTGTACACACTAGAGGGCACTCACCTATTAGTTCTCAAATCAGTATATAGGAGAACCACCTTGAGATCTTGTTAAAAAAAAAATCACAGGTTGTGGAGGGAACAGTGAATGTGCATTTTTAAACTGATACTGGATTTTTTTCTTTAGTGATAGGGGATTGGAACGCAGGGCCTCATGCTTGCCAGGCAAGTGCTCTAGCCCTTGATCCATGCCCCTAGTCCTTTTTTACTTTAGTTATTTTTCAGATAGGGTCTTATGTTTTTGCTGGGACTGACCTCAGACCACAATCCTCCTATTTATTCCTTCTGTATATCTGGATTAATAGCCACTCAGCACCATGTCTGGCTTGTTTAAGATTAGGGTCTCACATTCATCAATGAGATTGAGAAATCTACCATTAAATTTACATGGAAACACAAGAGGCCACGGATAGCCAAGGCAATATTCAGTCAAAAGAACAACGCTGGAGGTATCACAATACCTGACTTCAAACTATATTACAAAGCAACAGCAATAAAAACAGCATGGTACTGGCACAAAAACAGACATGAAGACCAGTGGAACAGAATAGAGGACCCGGATATGAAGCCACACAACTATAACCAACTTATCTTTGACAAAGGCACTAAAAATATATGATGAAGAAAAAACAGCCTCTTCAACAAAAACTGCTGGGAAAACTGGTTAGCAGTCTGCAAAAAACTGAAACTAGATCCATGTTTATCACCCTATACCAATATTAACTCAAAATGGATCAAGGACCTTAATATCAGACCCCAAACTCTAAAGTTGGTACAGGAAAGAGTAGGAAATACCATGGAATTAATAGGTATAGGCAAGAACTTTCTCAATGGAACCCCAGCAGCTCAGCAACTAAGAGATAGCATAGATAAATGGGACTTCATAAAACTAAAAAGCTTCTGTTCAACAAAAGAAATGGTCTCTAAACTGAAGAGACCAACCACAGAGTGGGAGAAAATATTTGCCAGCTACACATCAGACAAAGGACTGATAACCAGAATATATAGGGAACTCAAAAACTAAATTCTCCCAAAATCAATGAACCAATAAAGAAATGGGCAAGTGAACTAAACAGAACTTCCTCAAAAGAAAGAAATTCAAATGGCCAAAAAACACATGAAAAAATGTTCACCATCTCTAGCCATAAAGGAAATGCAAATTAAAAACACACCAAGATTCTACCTCACCCCTGTTAGAATAGCCATCATTAGCAACACCACTAACAACAGGTGTTGGCGAGGATGCGGGGAAAAAGGAGCCCTCTTA